GCTGCTGCATTCAATCTCTTGTAATACTAGGCATCAAGTAGTTTCTGGAAAATCACTGTACACATGTGACAGAATGAGAATGAAGATAGGAAATAATGTCCTAGCATTGCTATGAAAATGGTTTTGACCTCATATATCCTTCTGAAAGGGTCTTGGGACCTGGGACCACACCTTGAGGACTGCTGCCTAATAGCATACATACCCTCATCTTCCTCTTCCCTGGATTCCCTCTTCCCTGAAATACATGGGAATATAACCAAGTTATCCACAGCCCAAGACCAATCTAACCTGTGTTCATTAAGTCTCTGCCCCAAGAAAAAGATTTAGATGGTAGTTGGGCAAACTGATTGGGTCCCTCTCTGTCACTGATTGTGCATGTGGGTGTGAGCATCTGTGACCTTGGGTAAGTCATTTCACATCTCTAAACTTTGATATTTTCATATGTAAAAGAAGGCTATTTGCACTAGGCCAGAGTTTTCTACCAGAGGTATGGGGATAACTGGAGAATTACTTCAAGGAGACTGGGGGCCCAGATGTCCATAACTATTCTGAATTGGATATAACATATTCATATTGTAATTTCAAATGTAGGTAGAAATTAGTTGCTCTCATGATGCTAATTAGCAAAATGTTTTAAATTAAGAGATCTGTTTACCTCAGTGGCTTTTAGTCATGGTCTGTTTTCTCAATTAATAGACATAAGTTTAACTGTTAACATGAAGAGGGCAACAACCTCATTTGGCGCTAAGGCTAGAAGGAGGTCTTCCTTGAGAACCACTGGGAACTATTTTACTAGCTGTGACATGAAATAATTGTCCTCTCTTATTCTGATTCTGTCACAAAAATACTGTGGCAGGTTGCATTTTCCACTACAACGTCCACACGCTTTTTTATGCATTATGATTTTGCCGCACCCCGACCAAGACATGGAGTCATTTTCCTCCCCTCGACTCTGGGCAACCTTATGACTCACTTGTAACCAACAGAAGCAGCAGAAGGGCTAACGCATGACTTTCAAGGCTAGATCAGAAAAGGCCATACACATGACAGTGTTTTCATGTCAGGACTTTCTCAGTCCATCCTACCATCTCCTTCCCCTGCTGTGTACAGCAGAAACTAACACGACACTGTAAAGCAATTATCCTCAAAATAAAAAATTAAAAAAAGGAAAGACCACATGGCTTTCAGTGGCTTCTCTTGGAATGATATCTCAAGCTAGCCACCATATAGAAAATGTGATAAACCTAAGACCACCAGGAAGGCACTCCGACTGACCAACCTGGTGGAGACCAGCCTTCCAGCAATCCTACATGCCAAACATGCAAGTAAAGCTCTTCCACCAGCTGAATATAACTGAATGACCTCTTTTTAATTTTATTATTTATTTTTGACTGTGCTAGGTCTTCGTTGCTGGGCACATGCTTCGTCTAGTTGCAGCAAGCAGGGGCTACTCTCTAGTTATGGTGGGCAGACTTCTCAGGCAGTAGCTTATCATGTTGTGGAGCACAAGCTCTAGGGTACATGGGTTTCTGTAGCTGTGGTTCACAGGCTCTAGAGTTCAGGCTCCACAATTGTGGTGCATGGGCTTAGTTGCCCCACAGAACGTGGAATCTTCTTAGACAAGGGATTGAACCCACATCCCCTGCGTTGGCAGGTGAATTGGGAACAATTGGGAACAATTCAACAAGGGAAGTCCCTAACTGAGTGACTTCTGTCAATGTCATAAGGAACAGAAGAATTGCCCAGTTGAATCCTGCCTGAATTTCTGACCCTCAAAATGATGACATATAAAAAAGTAGCTGTTAATCAAAGTCACCAGGTTTTGAGGTAGTTTGTGACACAGCAATAAATAACCAGACAGCAGTATCTTGGTGCAAATCATCAGGCCTTGCTGAGCCTCTGTTTCCTGAAGAGGTTGTGTGAGCTGATCATCATGGTATCATCTTGCTCCTCATCTCTACAATCTCTAGCCATCTGAGACCATTCACCTCCTAGTCCACATTGGAGCAATGGCTTCTACTTTGTTATGAACAGGGCCCACTCCTCTCTGGGTGACTGAGTCTGGGAAAGACCCCACCTCATTATAGAGGACCTGTGGTCTGTGGCTCCAGGGCATTGGAGTCTCAGTAATGAGCAATCTACACAGTCCAAGGTGGGCACAGCCATCGAGAACCATGGCAGGTGTGGATGGGGATCTTTCAGTTCTGTGAGCAAGTGCTCATTTGGATGAAGGGAAACTGCTTATACACCTTAGAGCTGATGGGCCCACTGACAAACCCCCATGTCCTCTTGCTCTGTAACGTAAATCAGTTGGGGTGCATGACTAAGTGGAAAGAAGTCATGAGAAGCCATGAAGTGAGTAGTTTAAAACTGCTACACATTGACCCAGGGGCTTATAATGTCCCCAGGCAAGATACTACAAAGGAGTCTGGTGAATTATTCTGAAACTTGAAGGTGATAGAGAGAAAGAGCCTGATAAGCACAGGAAGTGAGTGGTAAGATCTTACACTCCATTGACACCATTGCAATCTATAGTATGATGACATATAAAAAAGTAGCTGTTAATCAAAGTCACCAGGTTTTGAGGTAGTTTGTGACACAGCAATAAATAACCAGACAGCAGTATCTTGGTGCAAATCATCAGGCCTTGCTGAGCCTCTGTTTCCTGAAGAGGTTGTGTGAGCTGATCATCATGGTATCATCTTGCTCCTCATCTCTACAATCTCTAGCCATCTGAGACCATTCACCTCCTAGTCCACATTGGAGCAATGGCTTCTACTTTGTTATGAACAGGGCCCACTCCTCTCTGGGTGACTGAGTCTGGGAAAGACCCCACCTCATTATAGAGGACCTGTGGTCTGTGGCTCCAGGGCATTGGGGTCTCAGTAATGAGCAATCTACACAGTCCAAGGTGGGCACAGCCATCGAGAACCATGGCAGGTGTGGATGGGGATCTTTCAGTTCTGTGAGCAAGTGCTCATTTGGATGAAGGGAAACTGCTTATACACCTTAGAGCTGATGGGCCCACTGACAAACCCCCATGTCCTCTTGCTCTGTAACGTAAATCAGTTGGGGTGCATGACTAAGTGGAAAGAAGTCATGAGAAGCCATGAAGTGAGTAGTTTAAAACTGCTACACATTGACCCAGGGGCTTATAATGTCCCCAGGCAAGATACTACAAAGGAGTCTGGTGAATTATTCTGAAACTTGAAGGTGATAGAGAGAAAGAGCCTGATAAGCACAGGAAGTGAGTGGTAAGATCTTACACTCCATTGACACCATTGCAATCTATAGTTCCCAGTACCTCATTCAGCTAATGTCAAAAGGTGACAGTGTGTGAAAGTGTCACACAATCCACTCAGGATAACAAGAAAATCCAACTATAATTTCTTCTTAAGAACAAAGTCTTTCCTATTATTCCAAGGCAGAATGGATTACCCTTTTCGGGATACTCTGGTTTTGTATCATCCTCTTATAGCTTTAGTATCATTTTGTCATTTGTTGTTTAAATTGATGTGTCACTTGGATGGTGAATTATAGGGTTTGGATATAAGAATGGTTCGAGGGATGCCCATTTGCCACCAACAGATGCATGACAAGCACACAACAAAGGTTTGGTAAATGAATGATGGAGGAGTGAATAAATGAACAGATAGGAGAGTGAATTAATGAACACATAATTAGGCTGAGTACTCTTTGTGTGTGAAAATGAACTATGCCAGGATATGAGCTGCTGCTTAATACTATGGGGAGCTATGAAAAAACTTTCCTTTTTCTGTCTAACGCCTATAAGCAATTGTTTGAAAAAGTAGCACCACATCCCCAAATCACCTCTTTAGTTGTATGCTAGGAAAATGGAGTCCTCTGTGAATACACTGGTGGATATGATGTTATGGTTGGAGAGGAGACATTTTTTTAAAGGGGTGGAGTCTATAGGATTTTTTCTGTATATACAAGAGTAACATGGCCTGTGACTGCATGGAAGTTGTGAGATATAACCAAAAGAGTACAGATGGAAGTCAGGCTGACCGGGGACTGAGTACTCAGAGTTACCACCAACTAGCACTTTGGCAAGTGCTTTGCAGACCTCCCACTTAGGGAATGTAACTGAGTGCTTTTGTACTCTGAAATCCAGTCCTGCCCTCATTACAAGGCCAGGCTGCACACGGCTGCTCCTAGCCATTGCTGCATGTGTAGGGGCTATAAAGGCACTCATGGGAGACACACAGGACTCCTTGCTGACTTTGTAGAACCTTCCTTAGACTACATGGTGTTGCAGAAACTGCCACCTCTTTCCCTCTCTTCTTTACTTGTATTCAGACTTATTGTGGTCTGTCAGCTCTCCTAGATTTCCTTCTTGTGTTCCCTACACAGGCATTTTTCCTAATAAAATCCTTCTTGCATCATTAACTCTTTCTTGGTGTCTATTTCTTGGATTATTTGGACTAACACATGGAGTGACTTTAGACAATTACTTCATCTTTCAATCTGTTACTTCACCTGTAAAACAGATTTAATATACCTGTTACAAGGGTGCCATAAGAATGATTAACTGTGATCATGCTTGAAAGGCTCTTAACCCCATGCCTGCAAATATGATGCTTAAAAAATGCCATTTTTCTTCCCTTTCCCATCTTCTTTTTTCCTTTGAAAAGTTCCTAGCAATGGGTTTAAATCACATTCACCTATGCCATGTGACCTGTAGCATTTGGGAACAAATGAAGTCTTAGTGTAACAAAATTGTCTTAATTATAAATTAAATTAATTATAATTATTAATTATAAACTTAATTATAAAATTGTTTTAATTATAGTCCTTCCTTCTTCTCATTAACTGCCTCTCAATTGGGAGGAAGTCTTACTTTCCATCCTCTCTGAAATCATTGATCTGTTTAATAATGTGAGTTGAAAGGGAAAAAATAGCTGTGAGGGGAAATCTTATTAAGCTTTGTGTGCTAGCTTTATTACTTTCTTCAATAAGGCTGATGCCAAACACTTTACCTTATCATCCAGTTTCCGTGCATTGAAGGCAAGTTCCACATAGTCATCATTACCAGATAATTCCTCAGCAATCACCTAAAAGAAAAAAAGCATTCATCAGACGCAGTGGCAGTTGGACCACTCAACCCAGGGATTCATGAACGATTTAGCTCGTGTTTGATCCAAAAATCAACAAAGACTGACACCTGGCATGGAGTTTCCCATAATCCAGTGAATGTGGCACAGCATCTCCAGGTGTACAAGGGAACTCCCTAGAACAGACCACAGGAGATAAGTAGACCTCACTGGTGCTGAGAATGAGCTTTTGTTTTCCTGGGAAGGAACTGTGGCAGATCTCATAACTGGGTTCACCATCCCAAGTCTTTTCTAGGACTGTGGGTGTGAGATTTTTAGAGCACTAGTGGCATCATCAAAGACCATTTGAACCACTTGTTCATGATTGAAAATGGTATTCAAGAAATAGATCTGATATGACTGCTCATTTAAAATGCCCAAACCAACAAACTCAGCTAAGTTCTTGTGAGAACAGTCGTAACTTTCACCAGTAGAAATAAAATATTTTAAAATTCTTCCTTAAAAAATGGCTTAATTTTTTTTAATGAATCAGTCAGTTTTGAGTTAAAAAGAAAGGTCAAAAAAACTAAGGTTTCCCCCCAAAGCAAATTGCCCTGCCAACAAACCAAAATCCTCCGGCAACTTTTAAAACCAATAATAATTTTTGCCCAACACAACTAAATGGTTAGACTACTTTATCTTTCTCAAGAACTTCGATACAAGATGCCAAAGTTTTAAATCTTGGAGTTCATCTTGAACATTGTATGTTTTATTTAGAAATACTTCCAGTTTTGCCCAAGAGAATATTCTGTAACGACAGAAATGTTCTGTAATCTGCACTGTCCAGCATATGGATCTACTGAGCACTTGATACATGGCCAGTGTAAGGAATGACTATTTGCTCTTATTTAATTTTAAATAATTTTAAGTTGAAAAAATCACATGGCTACCAAATAGAACAATGCAGCTCCAAACTATCATATTAAAAAGAAGAGTTAAATGCTGGGCTCTCTGATCATTAGGCAACAGACCAAACCTTGGACTAAATGCTATTAGATGTTTTTTCTCAAGAAACTGAGAAGCTGGGATAGGTAGTTTTGATAATTTGAAAATGCCAGACAATTCCATGTTCTTACTATGATCAATAACTTCTTTCTTTGTTCCCTGCTAAAACCTATATTTAAATATAGAAGTGCTTAGTTGAAGTGAATGGCCTCACTTTCAAATCCTTTTTCCTACAGTGAAAAGGTCAAAATTGTATTATTAGGAAGGAGAAAGATTGAAAAAAAAAAAAGAAGTGACTGGTATAGCTGAGCAGTTATGGGATCAACCCCTAACATCCAGAGGGTCAGCTTCCCATGAGGCTGGGTTAGACCAGCAGGCTCCATCTGGGCACCTGAGCAGGTGGCTGCTGAGGGAGGGCTCACCGTGATGGAAGATTTCCCTGCCGTGTTCCCGTGCTTCAGTAAGGATTTGGACAGCTTTCTCTGGGAAACAATCTGTATGAAGGAAACACAAGGTGGAGATAATAGTCATATACTTGCAGGTATGCACTTCAGTATTTTTCTTACAGAATTCTACAGTTACAGTTCTCCTTGAAATTAAGACATCAATGTCCACTTATTTTCCAAGGTTCTTCCACAAACCTCTGCTAAATACAGGTCATTCTCTCCTTTCCTCTTACAGTCTGAGCTGTGTGAGTGAAGGATTATGGATAATTTAGTCACTTAGGAGGTGGCTTAATCATTGGTGAGACATTTATATTAAAATTAGACAAAACATGTTGGGTATGTAAATTAAGATAAAGGAGATGAAATTTCAGAATGATTTCAAATTAGCACTAAAACCTCTGTGCAGAGTGGGGGATGGGGTGAGGGGAGGAAAGAAACTCAAGGTCAAAATCTGTATCTATAACCTCTAGAGTTCTATTTTTAATATATTCATTATGAAGCTATAAAGTAAGTCATCAGGAGACTGATGTTCAGACAAGCCAAAAGGAGTAATTGGAGTCCTCTCCACAACTCAGTGTCAACTAAAAGTATCAGTCCACTGGCAGTTATTCTCATTAGAACCCACCCCATCTTGTTTTCTTGAACAAGAAAACAAGACTAGAAACCACCCTCTTGTTTTCTTTTCTGGAAGGGAAAGATGGCAAGGCATTGAGGCCCAGATGTACCCAGTGATTCCTAAAGGAAACAAGGCTTAAAAGACTTGAGTGAAAGCCATGCTCTCAGGAGGGGGAAGTCCCCAGTTGCTGGTGGTGCTTTCTATCTGCAATGGCCCCAGTGATCCTTGCTTCCTGGAGTTCTTGCCTTTGTGTAATTCCCTCTCCTGAGTGTTGGGTGGATCCAGTGATTTGCTTCTAGTATACAGAATACCACAAAAGTGACAGGATATCACTTCGAAGATTAGTTTCTGAAATCACCGTGACTTCTTTCTTGCTCACCATCTCTCTTTCTCTGTCTTAGAGTCTTTGCTCTGGGGAATGCAGGCTGCTAGGTTATGAAGAGCCCTCTAAGAGCAGCATGCATGACCAGGAATTTATGTCCCCACTCAATAGCCAGTGAGAACCAGAAGCTGATCTGCAGCCACATAGGTAAGCAAGGAGTAGGTCCTCCCCACAGATGAGCTTTGATATAACTGTACCTTGACAATAGCCTGTGAGAAGCATTGGTCCAGAGGACCATTGCTGCAACTCCTGACACACAAAAACTGTGAGATAATAAATGTTTGTTTTTAAGCTTTCAAGTTTTGGGGTAATCTTTGATGCAGGAATTGGTAAAAGTACCCATAAGATAGGGAAGGAGATCACTGTGAAAAGTGGGGGCATAACCTTATTCTCTGAAATCCTTATTTTGTCTCTGTGTTAGAGCAATATCAGGAGTGTGCTAATATCCCATGCAAAAAAGTTCAGAGAACTTCCCTAGGCCAAGCAGATTGAAAGATCCTAATGTTCAGTTTGCTATCCTCTGAAGAGGAAGGAGTGTTTCTGTAAAAAATCACCACTGATGATGATGATGATGATGACATCAAGGAAAACAATGAGAGCTCCCATGTGAGAACACAGATTATGTGGCAGATGCCTTATTCATTCCAAAAATAATTATTTAGCCCCTATTGTGTGACAAACTTGGTGCCAAGCCCCAAGAATAGAGTGGTAAGCAAAGTCAAATACAATCTCTGACCTCATGGAGCTTACATTTTTAGTCGAGGAGATAGCAATAAACCAGGGCTTCCCAGGCGATGCTAGTGGTAAATAACCTGCCAATGCAGGAGGCGTGAGAGATGAGGGTTTGATCCCTGGGTCGGGAAGATCCCCTGGAAGAGGAAACAGCAACCCTCTCTAGTATTCTTGCCTAGAGAATCCCATGGACAGAGGAACCTGGCAGACTACTGTCCAAGGGGTCACAAAGAGTCGGACATGACTGAAGCGACTCAGCACAAGCACAAGTAACAAACCAAATGGTCAAACAAATATAACTTGTCACAAAGGACAGATATACTGGCCATGGTGGGGATGATGAATGAGATAATTGAAGGTGAACCATTTATAAATCTCTGGCAACAGCCCAGGTGAGAGGGAACAGTGACTGTGGAGATGGAGGGAAAAGACTGGATCTATGGGATAAATATAAAATAGTCAAAATTTGGAAATGGATTGAATATGGAGAGAGTGGAAGGCATCCCAAAGGCATCATTAAGTCAGACAGAAATGCCCTTCATTGAGTTGAGTCAACGAAGAGGATATTAAGTTGGAAGGCAAAGAACAAAGTTTGAGGCAGAAAACACACTGGAGTAAGTTGATGAAGAGAAAAAGAGGAAGGGAATGAATAAGAAGATAATTCTTTCAGTAAGTTTTGCTATAAAGTGAAGAAGAGAGAATAGACCCTGAGGGGAAGGAAAAATTCACTAAGGTTTTTGTCTTAGTGGTCACTTTGTTGCTAACGTTACAGCCCTACAAATTTGGTATTATTAGTTTCTTTTGATAGAGGAACAAAGTTGGACACAGAGAGTTTAAGTAACTCTCCTAAGGTTATAGAGATAAGAGGGAATGTAGCTGGGATTTGAACCTGGGTCTGACTCCAGAAACTGATCTCCAGTTACATTATGACTGGTAAGGAAACTCCTAAAAGAGATTCAGAAAATGTTCACAGTGGGGTTTGTACTACATGTGTTTGCTTTTAAGCCCTAGATCTCATGTTAGTGCTTAAGTCTCAATGTTTAAGCATGGAGAAGATGGTAACAAAATAATTAAGTTAAAACTTAAGAATGAAGTAATCTAAAGGCACTGGTTTTGGCTGAGCTCACTGTGGCATAATGACTAAGAACGTAGGTCTTCCATTGTAAATATGTAACATATTTTCTTTATCCACTCATCTATTGATGGATATATATGCATATATATTATATATATATATTTAATATATATAATGGAATATTACTCAGCCATAAAAAGGAATTAAATTGGGTCATTTGTAGTGATCTAGATGGACCTAGAATCTGTCATATGGAGTGAAGTAAGTCAGAAAGAGTAAAAACAAATATTAACACACATATATAGAACCTAGAATAATGATTCAGATGAAACTGTTTGCAGCTTGGGAGTAGAGACAGATGTAGAGATTGGACATGTGTACACAGGGTGGGAAGGAGAGAGTGGGATGAACTGAGAGTAGCACTGACATATATACACTATCATGTGCAAAATAGTTAGTGGGAAGCTGCTATAGAATACAGAGAGCTCACTCAGTGCTCTGTGATGACCTAGAGGGGTGGGATATGGGGATAGTGTGGGAGGGAGGCTCAAGAGGGAGGGAATATACGTGTACATATAGCTGATTCACTTTGTTATACAGCTCAAACTAATAAAACATTGTAAAACAATTATATTCCAAAAAAAACATAGGATTTTTATGTATAGCTGTCAATAAAAATGACATGAAAAATTCAGATGATGAAGGAATTGGCTTTCCTTCCCAAAGTTAATTTTGAACCCAAACTCCTCACCTTTCCCACCTTATCATTAGAATGTTTCAATGTTTTTAGTCTTATTGGCAAAATCATTATCCCCTTTACCTCATTCCCAGATTATCACTCATTGTAGAAAAGCTACCATTTCCTAGAATAATGTAGACATTATTTTTTCAACTTGAAATAAACCAAAGCACAGAACACAAACAGTAAAACAACATTAGGAAGACTTTCTCTCCAGGGATTTTTAAGTAGGGGGGTAGAGGGGAAGACACACCAATAGACGACAAAACAAGAATCATTGATAAGAAGTAGTCAGGTCAATATCTGTCTAAAGAAAGGCAATATTATTCCCTGTTCCCAAATAAATCTGGTTTCAGGAATACTTTGGTCAGGACTTCCCTGTAGTCCAAAGCTTAAAAATCCACCTTGCAAAGCAAGGGATGCAGGTTCAATTCCTGGTTGGGGAACTAAGATCTCACATGTCACGGAGCAACTAAATTCAGATGCTGCAACTACTACGCCCATGCACTCCAGAGGCCACGCACCACAACTAGAGAATCTGTGTGCCTCAACGAAAGAGCACACATGAAGCAACAAAGAACCCATGTGATACAACTAAGATACGACATGATAAAATAAATTTCAAAAAATAATTTGGTCCAGTGTTATTGTGTTCCATCCACATTTGTTACCCATTCCAATAGCTCCAAATGACCCCAACAATTCTCTCAGCACTGAAATGATCCATGCAATGGGTTACCACATGTTGGTAGATTGCCTTTACAGATTGTGTCTTCCAAGATCCACAGTCTCTTCAAGGAAGACCAACTATGGTCTTAGGTCTCTCTTCTCACTCTTACTTAGCCAGTAAGTCAGTTCAGTAACTCAGTCGTATCTGACTCTTTGCGACCATTTGGACTGCAGCACACCAGGCTTCCCTGTCCATCACCAACTCCCACAGTTTACTCACCCTCATGTCCATCAAGTCGATGATACCATGCAACCATCTCATCCTCTGTCGTCCCCTTATCCTTCTGCCATCAATCTTTCCCAGCATCAGAGTCAATTCCAGTGAGTCACTTCTTCACATCAGGTGGACAAAGTATTGGAATTTCAGCTTCAGTATCAGTCCTTCCAGTGAATATTCAGGACTGATTTCCTTTAGGATTGACTGGTTTGATCTGCTTGCTGTTCAGTCTCCAACACCATAGTCTAAAAAAGATTAAGAACGACTTCTATGAGTTAAGAAAAGTTTACAGAAGCCAACAGTTTTTCCCCCCATTTTTTTTGTGTTTTATGTCTGTATTTGAATAACATTCTGATAAAGTACTATTAATTATATGTAAGATTCTCAGACTTTTGTTTAATAAGTATCATTTTGCCTATACTTAAATTGAGAACTTTTTTTTTTAAAGGTTCAGGAGCAAGTACATCCCAATCTCTCAGCTAATGAAGAGTCTCTCTATTATATTGAAGAGCTGATTTTTCAGTTGCTTAATAAATTATGCATGGCCCAACCAAGGAC